TTACCCTTAATTTTAATTTCTTTTTTTTTTTTTCTTTTTTGGACATAAGTTCATTATGTATGTTTACATGCAAATTAAGTTGGATATACAATTGTTAGGGTTTTTTTTATCTAATGTCTCTGAAGAGGTATAAGGTTAGTTTTTTAGATGTGAATGTGCAACTGCATATTTACATCACAAAGAGTTTAAACAGGTAAAAGAACAACTAATAAATCCACCGTAACAATAGACATGCCATGCAGAAAAGGTCAAACCAAGTTTCATACGCAGCCTGTTTCACTTCAATATATTCAATTAAAACTCACTCAGAGAGCCACTTTGCAGCAGCCTACTTCCACTCCAGCTCCTCCTTGCAAACTGTGTTCAACTTAATCAGCATCAAGGCTCTATATCTGATGCTGCTCAGTTCTGCTCTTTGCTGCTGCTGCTCCTGCTTTCCAAAAGCTACCCTGACCTAAATTTCATATTTTTCATCCAGCAGCACTCATTTGTCAGTAGAAGATTGGTTTATATGACACAATAATACATTAAACTAATTTCTATTTGCACAAACACAATCTGTTTCCTGCTTCATATGGATCAAAAATGTGAATCACATTCCAGAAGCCGATTCATTTCCCGACTGTGGAAGTGTTAGCTGAGAGTAATGAATGTAATATTGTGATTTATTATTAGTAAAGATCCTCTATACGTCAGGTTCTCCCAGCAGTTTATTGTGGGTCAGACGGGTGGCCTTTAAGTTGCTCGAGCTATTCTTGTACCTGCAGATGATCAGGTTTCTGGTTCGACATACCAGGTATGTAAAAACACAGCAGAGCSCCTCTGGGTGTCCCGGCACACGGTGGAGGACAGGTGGCTGACATTAGACTGAAGAGCAGAAAGCTTCAGATAGAGATGGTTATTGTTCTGCTCTCAGCTGCCAGGCACAGCGATGAAGACAGGAAAGGTTATGACTAATTTGGGGATTGGTAATTTGCAAGTATGGGCTATTGTACACAAAATTAATTGATAAATAAAAATAAATAAGGAAAATAAATGAATCATTTGGATGAAGGGGCAATAAATAAAGATGTATAAATCCAAAACAAGAATAATAAAAAATGTAATAACCAGTGATGGGCACAGTTCCCCTAAAGCACTAGTAGAGGAACTGTTTTTCTGTTTGGTGCTTTAGGGCTTTTGCTCATTTTAAAATCTATTAGTGGATTAGCACTTGCTAAATTTAAAGGCTAAATTCAGAAGCACTAACTGAGATCTATAAATGTTATTGATCATCGTTAATATTAACAGCTGTGGAATGTCAACGATAAGTCTTAAGAGGAGCAACATGGTAATATGTGACTCATGTTGTCAGTTGATTAGTGCTTTAGAATTAGCGTTTGCTAAAAATTTCAGTGCGCTAGTGCTTTACAGTTAGGGGACTTAAATATTTGAGTTAGTGTTTTAGGGCTAGTGGAACTCATTTTTAGATTGGTGCTGCCCACCACTACACAGCAAAAATGCCAGTGTTAATTTAACACCCACAGTGTTATTTTCAACACTAACAAAGTGTCCATATGTGTTCACACTTGCTGGTGTTAAAATAACATTTGTGAAAGTGTTACATTTTAACACCTTTTTTTTGTTAATTTAACACCAAATAGTGTTTCAAATTCAACAAAATTGGGTGTCACATTAACATTTCAGTGTTAAAATATAGTGTTAAAAGTAACACCAGTGTATTAAAGGAAATTATGGTGTTAGAAAGGTTTACAGTCACCACAAGGTGTCAATACACCATATATTTGAGAGTGTAAATTTAACATTCAGAGTTAAAATCAAACTCTTTGTAGTGTTGCATTAACACTGCACAGTWATCAGCAGAAAAGTATAATGGAGTCACTCTTCACACACCAGGACATTTCTCTCACTCATGGTGTCGATTTATGGCCAATAACACAAATTTAAACTTGAACAACTTGATCAAACTGAACTAACTAGAACAACTAATTTTTATTCTCATGAACTTCTTTAATAGACATAAACACGCAAACCTATCGTTTCTACAAGATTACCCAGCATTCCTTGCTGAGAAAATACTGTCTGACATGAGGTGGAAGAGGGCGGGGCTTTTCAGAATACTTCTTTCAACACTGCATGGTGTTATTTAGCAACACTGTAGCACTAAACACTTAAGTGTTATATAAAACTTAACAGTGGGCGGAGCTTATTAAACACTGTCCAGTATTAATACAACACTGAGGAAATCAACACTTTGAATTAACACCAACACTGGGTGTTAGTTTACTCAGAAAGTGTTAAAACAACACTACGGGGTGTTAAATCAACACCCAATAGTTTAACACTGAAATTTTAACACTACGGTTTATACCATTAAATTAAATAAAATTTGAGGGGAAAAATAAATTAATAAATAAATAATGAGTGAAAAGAAATAAATCAACCTATTTTTTAAATACTGTATTACTCGAGTTACTAATATTAGTTAAATAGATTTGCTTCATGTGCAATAATTTTTTTGTCTAAAACTCACAAATTAACATCAAATTCAACTCCAACTGTTAACTTTTGTTATTACATGTGAACTGGCAGCAGAGCCAAGCTAACCTGGGACCATCCCCACCCCCAAACAACAGCCCCACCCACGCCCCCTGCATGAGGCAGGTACAGAGTCCTCTCCTGTCCTGCTCCATCACAACATCTCCCCAGGCTGCTGCTGCCCTGCTGCCTGCGCAGTGAAAGGGRGAAACGGATGCCATTATTCGATGCTAATTTGGTATTGACATGAATGGCTTCTGGGCTCAAAGGGCTTTTATTCTCCCTTTTTAGTGATTTCATTCGTATTTACGCCGGAGAATCCTTCTCAATGAGAGGTCAGCCAGTACGCTGCAGAGAGGGGTTTGTTCTTAGAACCAGACTGGAACCTCCTCCTCCTGCCTTTTGTCACACATTAGCTAAAACTTTACAACTGATCGAACTGAAATAAAGAGTTTTAATACGCTGAATTTTCAATTCAATTCAATTCAGTTCAGTTTATTTATAAAGCGCCAAGTCACAACACATGTTGTCTCACACTTTTCTCGCAGAATATTTTATTTACTCAAGAAAACACTTTTTAATTAATTCAATTTAGGGAATTCCATGATAACTTTTAAGATTGTAGGATAATGTTCATGTAAAATTAATACGTACTGTATTTGTAGATTAAATGAATGAGTAATGCTAACTGATACATGGAAATCAAATGACACTAACTGCAGAGCTGCATTTGAATTTGTAAATGTCATTCAAGCAGCTGAACTTCATTTAACATCTGTATTTGGCTGTTTTGCTTTTACTTGGTCACTTAGACACAATAAATCATAGCAAAGAACTTTAATTTTACTGTGCTTTGTACAATGACAGTAAAGGTTTATCTTATCTTATCTTATCTTATCTTATCTTATCTTATCTTAAATTATCTTATCTTAAATTAAAGCAGCCCAATAAACTGTTTAGAATGAACTCTTGTCTGTTATCAAAATATTGGTACCACTTTACAATAAGGCTCCTCTTATGATGGCTTATAAATAGTTTATAGGTATGTTATTGATTCATCTTTAAACACTTTATAAATCATTAATAAGTGTTTATTATGCATTAATTAAGAATGAGAAAGAGACAAAACTGTCTGGTTTCTTGCCAAATAGTGAGCCAAATCTGTTCTTGTACATATTACATCTAAAGTGTGGTATTAGACATTTCAGACTA